GGAAGGTGAGCAGCAGAACACAGTTTTAGCTGATATTAGCTAGCTCTCAGAAGCTGCATTCATGTTAGGTGTTCAGTGTTCATTTTGGGAGCTTATGATAGACATTGTCCTCTAAAATATCATAAGCAAAACTTAAAAAAAAAGGTCCCCACCCTGGATTGTTAGGGGATTGGAAAGGGCTTGCCAGAAAAAGAAATCACTGTATCTGGATTTTATAAAAAATCCAACAAAGGAAAAAGAAAAAAGGTATAAGGAATATAAAAACAAATTAACTACAATAATAAGGAAGCAAAAAAAGGAATATTATGATCAGCTTTTCCTAAAACACAAAAATAATATTAAAGGTACATGGAATGTGTTAAATAAATTAATAAGAAATACAAAAGAAGCAGGTATAGATATTCACAATAAAAATGGAAAGAACATTGCAAATGAGTTTAATAAATATTTTGTGAATGTTGGCCCTAATCTAGCTAAAAAGCTGCCAGAAGTTGACATTAACCATGAAATAAATAAAAATAATAATACAATGTTTTTGAGCAGTGTAAGCCAAAGTGATGTGATCCAAGCGGTACATAGTTTCAAAAGTAAAAAGTCCTTAGATTTTCATGGGATAGATATGTCTCTCATGAAGGAGGTTATCCATTGCATTATTGAACCTTTTACTTATATTTGTAATAAATCATTTTCAAGTGGCACAGTCCCTGAAAAAATGAAAATAGCCAGAGTTATTCCTATTTATTAAAGTGGTGATAAATTATTAGCTTGTAACTATAGACCTATCTCTTTACTGCCACAGTTTTCAAATATACTTGAGAAACTTTTTGTAATTAGATTTGAAGCATTTACCAACAAGTTTGATCTTTTAAATGACCATCAGTATGGGTTTAGGAAGAATCGTTCAACCTCATTAGCAGTTATGGATTTGGTAGAGCAGATTGCAACAGCAGTGGATCAAAAACTTCATGTAGTGGCTGTCTTGATTGACTTGAGTAAGGCATTTGATACAATTGATCACATATACCTGCTCAAGAAATGTGAATACTATGGTCTTCGTGGTAAAACCAATCAATGGCTTGAAAGTTATTTAAGCAGTAGATTTCAATATGTAAATGTTAATGATATAGATTCACAGCTTGAAAGAGTAATATGTGGTGTACCGCAAGGCTCGGTGCTAGGACCGAAATTATTCAACCTATACCTGAACGACATCTTTTCTGTATCGTCTCGGTTAAAATTTATTATGTTTGCAGATGATACAAATTTCATTTGTATGGGAAAAGATATGAGTAAATTATTACAAGAGGTTGAAAACGAATTGGATTCAAATGGTTTGATTACAACAAGCTATCACTAAATGAAAATAAAACCAAATTTATGATATTTTCAGGGAACAGGGACAATGACGGTGCTAAGCTGTATTTAAATGGAGTCCCAATTGAACAAGTATATGAAACTAAATTCCTAGGTGTGATTATTGATAGTAAACTCAGTTGGAAACCACACATTGAATATATCAAACAGCAAGTGTCTAAATCTATTGCTATACTTTATAAAACTATTGATATACTAAATAAAAAAGCCTTGTTTTTGATTTATAGCTCTTTAGTTATGCCTTATTTGTCTTACTGTGCAGAGGTTTGGGGAAATGCAGGTAAAACGTGTGTTGAGACAGTATTTAAATTACAAAAAAAGGCGATTAAAATAGTTAATAAATTGGGATACCTCGAACCAACCCATTATCTATTTAGTCAAACGAAAACGCTAAAATTAGGAGACATTATTAAAGTAAAAATCTTAGAGATTCTTCATAAAGTAGTTAATAATAATATCCCAAATTGCATAAAAGTTTATTTCAAACCAAGAGATGATCATTATAATCTCAGAGGTGTATTTATGTTTGAATGTGTAAACGCCAGAACTAATGTGAAATCAAGATGTGTTTCTGTTGTTGGTGTGAAATTGTGGAATGAGTTAGATGATGATTTGAAGAAATGTACTTCTTTACTAAAGTTTAAAGCAGGTGTAAAGTGTCACATATTTACAGGGTACGAAAAGTATGTATAGACATTAATGAATTTTCATTGTGGATATTTATATTGGGGAAAATAAAAGAAATGTATATTGGTTATGTATATTAGGTGGAAAATAGGGTAGGCTAAAATAAGCATTGCTTCTGCCTATTCCTTCTTTGGTTTAAATTCAAATTGTTAATATTGTTTTGTTTGAAAAGAAAAATTTTATGTTAATGCTATAAACCAAAATAAAAACCGAAAGAAAGAAGAAAGAAAGTGTTAAACGCCTTTAGTTTCACCATCAAGATCAAATATAAATTAATTAGTGTTATCAGTGATAACACTAATTAATTTATATATATATTAATCAGAATTATTATCGCGGGCGGCTGCCGCCAATTAATTTGCGGACCTTGCAGTAAAAACAGGTTCACTCTGTGTGGATATTTCAGCTCCTTCCCAGTCATGGACCAGGACAAACTTGGTATCGATGGATTCGTGGTAATCTCAGGAATGGGAAGCTGCCACTGTTTTTCGTATAGCATGATGACACTGGTGTTAGAGGATTGTTATTGACTTGGTTAGATATTTTAAGCCTATTTTAAATTTCTTTATATTTGATCTTGAAAACGGACAACCTTATAATTTGGCTGATAATGCAGGGATTATAAAATTTAGAGTACATTACATTCACAGAGAGAACCTGGTTTATTTCATGTCATATGTATTTAATATATCAATATATATCAGTATTAGCAAAGCTTAACATCATGAACCACATGGCCCTTTAGACGCAGTAGCAGCAGCAGCAGGGCCCTCATTGTCTCCAGAAAGCACTGAGGAGATGAGACAAGGTGAGCTCACTCAGGGGCGGCGTTAGGCCCAGCTACTTGGGCTGAAGCCCCGGATGTTTTATGAAAAGCCCCGGATCTGAAACGTGGAAGTAACATGCAGTAACAAAGTCCAACAGAGAGGGAGCAGCTGGCAGTAGTTTGTATACAGCCTGCCTGAGCCTCCATCACTGAAGAAGAAGCCCTTCAGCAGCCGGCTTCTTCTGCAGTCTCTGCCTGAAATGCATGAGTGAAGATGGACATAAGGACTTTTTTTTAGACAAAAAGTACAATGACAGAACCCCAGCTTTGATGAGACTGGTGTTGACTCAGGTTTGTGAGTCTTATTTGAAAATATTTGTTGTGTTGCTGGTTTGCCTAAAGTTAGCTTCTCAGGTAAAGTTGCTGGAAAGTGAATATTTACTTTCATCTCACACTAAACACTAACAGGAACAATATTCTGCCCTGAATATGCTTAATATGTAGCTTTAGATTAAAAAATTATGTGGTACAAGACAAATATATATGATGTTGACTAGTGCGTGTCACGTGTGTGTGCGCGCGTGTTTGTGTGTTAAGCCCCGGATCTTCTTCAGTCCTAAATCCGCCCCTGAGCTCACGATACAATTAAGTTATTCAATTTACAAGCAATCATTAGCAACAGATTTATCTGAAAGGACATGTTAGGTTATATTTTGCTGACCTAATTCATGATCCATTTTGCTTGTGTGGTGTCTGTCCCCCTTGCAGCAGAGAAAGAGATAGAATATGTGAAAGAGGATGATGTAAGTGAAGATAGGGAAGGGGATGGTTGCTCTGAAGGTAGTGAGGATGATGAGGAGAGGCCAGAAGAAGAAGAAAGTGAGAGGCTGAGCAACACAGATGAGTGTCTGCCAGAGGATCCAGGACTATGGCCAGAGAAGCTCACTGGTCAACAAGGAGATACAGTTGTCAGAAGACTGGCGAATAAAAGTGATCAAACACCAGGAATCGACAAAATAACACCCAAAGATATGGAGGGCAAGCCATTTCCAAATTATCTTCAATATGCTAAGTCAGCCAATGGGCATGAGAAGATAAGAAGAGACTGGCTTATTTACAGTGAAAGTGCAAAGGCTCTGTACTGCATCCCATGTCTCCTCTTGAGCTGCTTAATTCCATCTACAGGATGCAATTACAGAGCATTTTTGGAGAAGTTTGTATTGGACTGAGGATTTTTTGCACACTACCTGTGACTGTTGCTGGGGGTGAACGGGCTTTTAGCAAACTGAAACTGGTGAAAAATTATTTGAGATCAACAATGTCCCAGGATAGACTGAACAGCCTAGCTCTTCTTTCTATTGAAAGCCAATTAGCCAAAGGATTGGACTTTAAAGATCTCATAAGGGATTTTGCTAACATGAAGACCCGTCAGTGGGCATTTACTGGAAAATAAATTCCAGGATTAATGTTTGAACACATTGTTGGCAAATAAAAATAATTATATGTGAAGTCTGGGCATTTCACTTTTATTATGCTGGCATTTGTATTTGCTCAATATAGAGGTTAAACTGAGATCATATTTATTATCTTGTCTTATAGCATGGCATAAAATGTGTAAGAGAGATATTACACAATTGAGCATGGGGCCCACCTAGAAGACTTGTACCTAGGGCCCAGAATTTGGTGCTACGCCCCTGCGTACCATTAGCGAAACGGAAGCTCACATATCAAGCTAACGTTATCTTAAACATTTTATTTACCTACCGGAGCAGATTAAGATGAGGATGTCTCACTTAGATCGTTGTCGCTGGTTTCATCATCACCCAGTTACCCATCACATTTAGTGAAGTGGACCCAAGCGTTAGCGTGCGTTCTTTCTACCATGCTGCTCTGTTTACAACTGGCTCGCAGCGAGCGACGACATAATGCTCTTGCGCATGCGCAGCTGTCTTGGCAAGTTCTTGTTATGAAGGACGGGTACCGAAACGAGGCACCGTTTGAAATGACGTGAATCGGTGCTCGGTCGGTACTATGGAATTCGGTCGGTACCTTAAAAAGTACAGAATTTGGTACCCATCGCTAGAACTACTGCTGCCCCAAATATTTGATGTCTGAAGTCACCGTTTCAAAAGCAGAGGTTGAGCAGAGGTTGATGTGTGGAAGTAGTTCTCACATGATGGGGTCCAGAAGGCTTTCCTGTAGGACGTGCTCCCCTGAGACTGGATGGGCGCAGCACAAACAGGACCAGAACCACTACTACCCACCCCATCAGGACCATGGGGAGGGTCAGGTCATCTCCTCTACCCATCAGCCCACTGGGTCCCGGCACTGAGAACAACGCAAGGCAGCTTTATATAAAGCACATTTCATACACAGAAGCACTGCAATGTGTTTTCCAGGAGCAAGAACATAACATTGAAATCAATGTCACAACATAAAACAGCAGATTTTTTCATCCAATTTAAAATAAAAATTTAATTAGATACGTTTAAATTCACATAAAAAGGTAAAGTTAAACAATGTCACATTTACACAGATAATCTAAAAATTCTAGTCTAAGATGATGATTGCTCCCACATTTCACTGATTAACAAGAAAACACCGTTGAGTGTTGGATGAAGTGCATAAAAAGGAATGGGGGTGTACATACGCTCCTGAGGACACTCGATGTCTGTGCAGTATGACTGAGATTGTCTGAGCTGAAAAAAGAAGGATCAAATCAGCATTTGTGTGGGAAAACAAATGTCCATTCAATTAAGTTGGAAAAGGTTAAACGTTTTATCGTGGTCCTCCATGCTTTGAGAGAGATTAGAATTGCTGCTCATTTGGGCAACACCCTTTCATATGTTAAGCAAATCAGATTGCTCATGGTGGCATCAAGCTCTCAGCCAGATGACTGCAACCTGCCATACAAGTTACACCCAGACACACACACAAAAAAAAAACAAGGTCAAATAGAAACAGATACCAGGTGACAAAGTGGGTGTCTTTTATTCTAAAACGCATCATTTTGGTCGAGCCACTGTCCACCAGTTAGAGCCTGTGCTAGCCAACAAGCACAGTGAAGTCAAACATGGAACAGCCAAGCAGAGGTAGACAACAAGACAGGGCAGCACAGTAAGAACAAACACCAAACAGGAACCAGGATGTGTCCTGTCCCTGTGTCACAGTCTCATGTTTGATTTCCTGATCACTCAGCTGATAAAAACCTCAATTCATTTCCACAATATCTGCTACTAACTTCAACCTCATTACATATTTAGCATACTTCAACCCTATGCTTCAACTTGGTAGTCAAACCTGCTGCACTGTTTCGAGGAACTGAGATAGCGTCCCATTGGTATTGCTTACCAGGTTGATGAGGCGCCTCATTGCATATTCCTGAGTGCAGACACACTCGCAGGGGTCAAATGATCCTCCCTCGGCCATTTCTCACCGGCAGATCTCCACCCTGCGATACAAGCACTGCTTGTAATTGAGACGTGCGTGAACAAGGAGAGAAACCCAACGCTGCTTCCCAATGTTTGTTGTTCCCGTTCCACAGCCTCACACAGATTTGGGGGAGGAGACTGCTCACTCAGGAACAATTAGCATCCGTGTTAACAGAAAGAGATGGCTCTTATCCTTTTCAACTTTTAATGCTTTGCATATATTCATTAACTGTTATAATGACTGTAATAATATGAGGACAAGCTTACTAGAATTGCTACTGAAGTTTGTGCAGAGTATTGAAGCTGCCTAAGTGGAAAGCAAAAAACGTGATAAGTTGTGAAACTAGTTTTTAGTCTTGCAGAAAACAAATAATGCAGAAGGAGAATGTAAAGGTCAAGTCATGGGGACCATCTGTCTAGAGAACACTATAAGCACCTCACGTACTTCCTCAGTGGATTTACCTACTTTAAATGGTATAAAAGCCTGGGTGAGGGACATTTTGGTTTTGTCTGTTCCTGAGGTGATGGTGATTTCAAACAAAGGAAGTATGGAACTGAACCCAGAGCTCTATACTTTAGACTTTTGTGTGGCTTAGAATCCTGTGTTACAACTCCATCAGTCTCTTTAACTCATAAATTAACTAATAAACACATTAGAAATAAAAAAATCACATTGTTTTAACAATGAAATCAACCGCACTTACTAACTAGCCTTTTAACCTCCATTTTATATCTTCATGTACAACTGTGTATTTTTCTGTGATTTATCTGATGGTTTAAAAACACAAATCAGTTCTATAAACTAGATTATCGATATAAACACAAACAAAAAACACATTTTTACAAAATAACTTTTTTTTCATAAAGAATAAGCTAAAACTCAAAGAGCATAACAATTTATACCTGAAATGCTGCCAAAAGGCTTAAGATTTTTGCCACTTTAAATTGCAGTTGAACAAAAAAAAAACTACAACAAAACCTATACCTGTTGACAGGTTGTTGTTTTTTTAGCCATTTGTTGGTATTGCTAGCTTAATCTCATTTTAAAGGACCATGATTAGACTGAGACCAAGCTTTTGGACAGTGAACAGCACATTTCACTCCAGAATGGCTTGACAGGCTTCCTTTTTCATTGGACCCAGAATGCATACTGTGATGGATAAGTTTGATTACAGTCTTATCTTATTTTCTGTATTTTCTTATTTCAAATGGGATTGATGCTCATTTTTGTGATTTGTAACTAGAACTAATCTTACTTTCAAGGATGAAGGAAACATGTTGATGTTCTCATTTAATGGTGTTCCACTTTTCATATGACGTTCTGGAAATTAAAATCTTTATTTAATCCAGGACTGTTATAACTCAACAATCCAGATGCTGCAAAGCAGCTCCTGAGCATCCACCATGTTTCACAGGAGGTGACCAGATGTGGATGTCCCTTATAGTAACAGGTCCTAACAGGTGTAACGGACACATACAACTGCATGAAGTACATATGTGTACTACTGGGATGACGTAACTTGTACGGATTGATTCCGTTGCAGCTATCAGGCAGTAGACCATCTGTGTTGTGATGAGGAAATAGACTGAACAGTCTAGTCTTCTACACACATTTGAACTTCACCGAGGTCTCAAGCAGCACATCAGCGCTTACGCTAAATATTAACTGCGCTTTGTGAACAGTAAGCTAAATTAGCTTCACTTCAGACAAGCTAGCAAAGTCAGGAATATCACACTTCGTCCGGGTTAACTTCTCATTCGCGCTTTCTTTTGCTAACTGGAACAAGGTGAAACTAAAGAGAGACTCGACTCACCTTTATTGAATTTTAGAAGCGACGAGGGTCTTCTTTAGCGGGCCTGTGCTTGGCTACTACGGCTCTGTTGTTGCCTAAATTTGCCGTCATATATCCCAAACATGTCAAGTTCGGATCGCGTTGTCTGCACGTGAGCCAATCATAAGCGGTTGGGAAAATCAGCCCCTCCCACAACCATCCAGGATGTCTGTGATTGGTCTATTTCTTTAACAGATATGTTATGTAGCCAGTCACAGAATAGAGAGACGTCCATTAATCTGGATGGTAAACAGACAATCCAGCTAAAACCTGCGATTTTAAAAACAATGTTTAAAAAGTTAATATGACCATAGTAAGTACTCGTTTATAACGCTAATATTTTTGTATAATTTTATATTGCTTTTAGGCGTGTTTGAAAGGTTGATCCCAATATTTCTATATTTTTGCAGTAAATAAAATGTAAAGCCTTGGAGTTTAACAAATCTTTTACTTTATACAGTTATCCCACAGATTTAGCAACTTTTAAAAAAATAAATAATTTAAATGTTTCTTCCAAGATCACTTAGAGTCAATCACAACCCCAAGAAGTTTTGTTTCAAAAGCTTTTTTGATTTAATTTAAATACCTCATTTTTTACATTTTGATTACCAAATATCATAATCTTATTTTTTTTAAATATTCCTTAATAATTTATACACGTTGAACCCTGATATTAGGACATTGAACTCATTTCAGTCTTCTTTAAAAGTCATTTGAGATATATTTGAATAAAAATGGCATGTAGGCTGGAGCAATCGAGTGAGAATTTTTTTTAATAGATGCGAGCACAAGAGAAAAATATTAACGATTCAATACTTCTTGTGTCTTTATTAGATGTCTCTGATGCACTGTCTTAGCTGTTCCTAGAGCATCATCTTTCTTAATGATATGTCTGATCTGTTTCCTGGGATCTGCTTTAGCCACTCCTTCAGTTTGAGGGTTACTGCCCTGATTGCCCCGATGACCACGGTACCACCGATGTCTTCACTCTCCAGGCTTTTTCAAGTTCTTCCTTGAGGCCCTGGTACTGCTCTAGTTTCTCATGTTCCTTTTTCCTGACGTTGCCATCACTTGGTATTGCCAGATCTACATATAGAATAGAATAGAATAGAATAGAATAGAATGTATTAATCCCACAGTGGGTAAATTCACTTGCTAGAGCAGCAAACACACTTGAAAAGGAAGAAGATAATAACAAGATTACAGCAAAAAGCTATTATCGCAACCTTCAACTGCTTACAAATGTAAAAGTTTAGTCTTCTTTACATGTTCATGGTTTATGCAAAGTAAGTATTGTAAAAGTCTATTCACACAAAGAACAAACTATAAAAAGGACTGCAATTGCCTTATGTTAGAAAAAAAGATATACAATTAAATAAATAAATCTCAAACTTGAGGGAAGCTGGGATTAAATTTAGGAATGCTTCAACACACCTGAAAGCAGGCTGGAAACATACGAGAAGGCTCATTATTCTCTTCTAATTGACTAAAACGTTAGCCTAGTGAACTAGACCAAATTCTTGCTTTGCAAAGTAAATAATACATTTATTTAGTCTGGCTTGCCAGGCTAGTGTTTTTCTATTTCTTGCCTGCAAAGGGTGCAAATTCTCCATTCTTTCAATGAAACAGTACATATAGAGCAAGTGCTTTTAACAAGTAAGTCTTGTAAAAGTTTTTTAGACAAAGAGCAACCAGTAAAGAATATCTGAAATTGTTTTCTGTTACTTGGTACTTAAAAAAACAGGAACAGTAAAAATAAATAGATATTTAAATAAACAAATAAATCTCAAACTTGAGGGAAGCTTGGAGTCAATTTAGGAGTGCATCAGCACCCATGTGTGTTCTACTTTTTGCCAGCGGAGGGCAGCGGAACTATGATAATAAAATAAGGTGAAAAGTTATTTACAATTGATTACTTCAAGTTCCTACTATTTACATTTTATGCACCGCGGTTGTCTCAGTCTACTACTGAAGGAGTTGTCATGGCCTCCATGACATTTCCAATGTGGAAATATATATATATATATATATATATATATATATATATATATATATATATATATATATATATATATAAGGAATTAAGAAATAATTTAATTATTTTTGTCTGAAAAAAGCGCACCAATGCTTTATTACCGTAATGCACCATGTAGGCACGAAGGTAATATTTAGGGCTGCAGCGTCGGCTGGCTTGACCGCGGTTCGGTGCCTCAGTGTGTCTCAACATGAGACATAACAGAAGGTTGTTCAGGTGCTTTCGTCTGGGCCGGGGGGCTAACTTTTAAAGAAGAATGTGAGCTCAATAATCGCGTGTGAGGTGTCGAGACGTGAGCGAGCGCCTAGTGGGCGGCGAGCCCGCTGCGGCGCTGCATGCGACGTTGGTGCGGAGGCTTCAAGATGGCGGAAGCCCTGACAACTCAGGAGGAGCTGGTAAGGGTTTCTTAACACTATTTTTCTCTTCCCTTGTATCAACATCATGTTCAGCATGTGGACGTGTCTTCACCAGCTCATTTTATAACCGGTATAATTTCCAATAAATCTAATCACAATGTTGTGTATAACACTGTATAGTAAAAAGCCGTGGCCCGTTGCTCGACTTACTCCGGTGTGAGTGACAGTAGTTAGCCTGATGGCGTAAATGGAATAATTTAACCGGCATTGTACTTGTCCTTATAACTTCAGCTTTATTTGGCGCTCGTGAATATGTCAAAAATATTTTTACTAAACTAAGATAACGACTTTCTTGAATTTAGTGAAGTGTTTCCAAATTTCTATGGGGTTTTATTCAGCTATAAAGATTTAGCTACCGCATGTACCTAGCCTGTTAACCAATGCTAAAATAGCTATAGCTATTGTTGACCTGAGTGGAATCTCCCCAGCAGCTGCCTCGTCTTACTATAAATATTATGTGAGGCTACATTGTGAGTTTTGGGAATAAAAACGGGTTAAGTTAGCTTTAATTGTAGGATTTATCCTGTACCATTGTGGTGAAAAACTAATGAGAACGTAGCATTTAGTCTCAGATGCGCAGTCGCTAGTAGTTCCTAGCATTGTTGTTGTTGTGGCTTTCTAGTAAAACAGGTGGACCTGAAACCATTTGCACTGCGGATCTGATAGTACCGTTATGTTGTGGCTGCCTGCCATCTAGTCCTACATTACAACACAGCATAATCCCAATGGCTTTCCCTCCTGGAAGAACGTGTCATGACGGCGTCTGTGCTGCATCCAGTGATTTCACTCAGATAAACAACTCAAACAATTATTAGTCCCTGGTTGCTTTCTTGAGACATCGAGATTGATTTTCTCAGCAGTAACTTGCACTAGTATCTGGTTTCCCATCATTTGCTGGTGTGAGTCTGTGTTATCTCTAAATTTAATTATATTGTGAGAAAAATACTCACAATCTCAATATATATCAGGTACAGGCCATTTGTCATTTAGAAACAGTTTGAAAAGTTATGTTCGCTAAAAGAAACTTATTTTTATTTGTTTCTTTTTCTTTTTAACATCATAGATAGATAGATAGATAGATAGATAGATAGATAGATAGATACTTATTTTAGTGTACATCACACTCACAAGTACCTTGTGGGTTTGGGGATATTGTAGAAAAATATTATATTAGGGTTCTTTTTTTAAAATTTCCTAATCAAGATCAAATGGAGCTGATGTTGATAAACAGCAGAAGCTAAGGTGTTACGGTTTACTAGTTTCCTGTGAGCAGCATTTCCTGTTTAGATCTCATGGTTTAGTTGCAGACTGTCCAATTACATAGATGGCATTGCTTAAGTGTTCATCTGATCGGTCTTGTATCAAATCCTTAAAGTATCAATAGAATCAAGTATCAATAGAAAGCAGTCCATTTTCTGTGTTGTTTTCATTTGCAGAAGCAATCTGAAGTTTAGCAGCTTGATTTTAATTTTATGATTTAAAGCTTTGTTATCAAAATGTTCCACTGGAATATAATACAAAAGAGTTGTTTTATGAAAATTAAGGTTTTGTCGGTTTTACATCAGTGAAGGATACAGTGAACATAGTTTTATTTTTTGGGGTTTCTTAAACAAGACATTCTCGTTGTCACTGTAAAATACTTTCTTTAATTTTCATATGTGATATAAATCAAACCCATTATTTTCCTCGTGTAGGTTTGCTGTTTTACATTTTTAGGATATTTTGTTAGTGTAGCCCTCTTATTCACAGATTGTTTGAGTGACGGGTTCAGCATCACACACAAGATGAAACTGGCAGGAGAGAGGAAAACCCTGATATGTGGATTTTCTACCCCGTCCCAGCTTTCATCTTAGCAAATAATGTGTTTCACCAATTGAAACAGACCAGGGTGTTGGCTTCTTGTTCTTATTAAGCATCAATTATATCACCTTGCCTACTATATTTTTCCAGGCTGTGGAGGCCTTCCTGAATGAGGTACACAGCAGGGAGCTACCTCACAGCGCTGGGCTCGTCTCCCAACCTACAGCTGTTAAGTTTCTTATGGCCCGCAAGTTTGACGTCTCCAGAGCCATCGATCTATTCCAAGCTTATAAGGTAAAGCGTTTATTTATTTTTTCATTCTTGGTCTTTTCTTTTTGAATTTACATGGTTGCTTATTTAGGCCTTCTAAGGGATTGTGTTGTACAAGAAGTGTAACTTCTATTTGTTAACAGCTTTTCGGACAAAATGATCATTCAGAACATTGAAAAATAATTAGCCCAGAGTTTCCCCTAGAAACTTTTCCAGCCTTGGTGCTAGTTGACCGAGGTGGGTGGGGAGTGGGGTGGACACGTGTCTCTCCTTGATGCCAGTGCTGTTTTATGTTAAACATTTGGGAATAGGAACAGTTAGCCCATTTGACAACACATCCTGCATGATGTGGCATTGGTTCTTTTACCTGACCAGAGTTCTCTTCTTCTGTTGCCGTTCATTTCTTAGAAAATTACTTCTGGCTCACCTGAAATTGCAACCTGTGGTAATAAAATGTAATGCAATTGCGTAGGTACATGGTTTAAGCTAACCAGTGTCAACATCATTACCCTACAGTAGTGTGATGTCCAATTACTCAAACATACATAGAATTGTAAGCACTGCTCATCTCAGTCACGTGCAACTAGGGCTGGGGGTAAACGATTATTTTTAAAACGATTATTCTGACGATTATTTTAACGAATAGTCGACTATTCTAATGACTATTTAGAAAATTAATCTAATGATTATTTTTCTATTGCACAATTAACAAAAACCAGAAAATCTCAAAAAAATTGATAAATTCTTACTGTAAGAGAATAAACACTACAGGCCTTCCATTTTGTATAACACTGCGTTTATTGTGTTGGTTGGTTATGTTCTGGTGACGTGTAGAACTTGGGAGTGCAGGCTGCTGCCTGAGAGGTGGTAGAAGATGGAGTGTCTCCATGCTGCTTTGTTTTGGTCACTTATGTGCGTGAGGCGAGTGGTGTTACGGGTTAAACCAAACTCAAGGTGATATTTTACACTAAACCGAAAACCCACAACACTCTAAATGTAATAAAAGGGAGATCTACACCACAAAAAAGATGAACTCTAAACCAAAACGTAACAGCTTATCCCAACGCAAGAAGCTGTTAGCGAAGATGCTAACAGTAGCTTTACCAACATTAAGTTCAAGTTACCAAGTTTAAATAAACCAAAAACACCCAGCAGCAAACAGACCAGCACGGAGGAGAGACTGCTAGCACCAAAACAGCTCTCCTAATGTCTGAAAGAAGCTCCTTAATGAAGGGAGAAGTGCTCCCGGTGATTTTCTACATCTGCGATAGACACGAAGCAGCGCATCTGACCCCGGAAGTTGTTGTCCGTTGCCGGGAGACGAAGGGGCAAAACAGGAAAATAATCTAGTAGTGGACGGACGTTGTTCCGGGTCTTCGGTATTTGGCGGAGATGTTGGTGAAGGCGGAGAAGAGGGCGAACTAGAGGAAAAACAGGCAGATTCCTCCTCTATTTACAAACTCCTGGGGATGCAACAAGTGGGCGCGGTGCGTCGACTTCCGGATCTGACGTCGACAAATTTTTAGAATCGAGCCGTCGACTTCGTCGAGGCTTCGCTACAGCCCTACGTGCAACACAACAGAGTAGTTCCTGCTGCTTCTTTGGGAAGCAGTGCAGGTTCAAGTGAAGTATTAACAAGGTCCCCGGTAAACAACAACAACAAAAAATATATATAGGCATTATGTAGATGTGGTGCTGGAAATTCAGCCATGGCTCAGTGCCACTGTGAAGCTTTTGGGGAGAAAATGCTGAATCCAGTATTAATCAGACAAACTTGTTAAATGATCAACCTACAGCACAATCTGCGGTTTCACTGGGTTGTGGGAGGACTTTAAGGCACTTCCACGTCTGGGTCAGTATGGTCGGGGCTGGATCACGTCGGTCTGGGCTTGTTCTGGCGGTTTTTGTTTGCATTATAGTTCCCACGGACTTCTCAGAAATGCAGAAATCTTGGAGCATGTGGGTGTCACAAAAGATGCACGGAAAGGTCCGTGGTGTCCTCCTTAAGGATGTGGCAAAGGATGTTTCTGAATTTCAGAAAAGAACCGCCTTCTCCACGTTTAGAAAAATTTGCATGAGATTGTCCAGTTACCCTCGACACACTGTTTACAAGTAGCTGCCGGCCTTGCAGCACACGCACACTTAAGAAGATTTATGTTTTTTCAACCATGTTCGATTTAAATGTATTTATGTGCAGTTCATTCAATAAAATATTTCTATTGGGATAAACGTCTCTGCTAATACCCACTAGGTTTATTCTCTACTCAGAATCAAACAATTCTTCCCCAGAAAATAGAATATAGTAGTAGATAACTTCTTCTAACAATAATCCGACACAAACTTCTCAAAATAGCATACTGAATTTTAGCTTACCTGTTGAGCAGAAAACTGAGAACAGAGGCATCTGTGGGAAGACCAACATTTGCTTTTAGTGCTTGCCATCTTTGAAAATAGTCTCCTAAAAAACTTTGGACAGGAACGAGCACGTACGATGACGGCCTTGTGATAGCTTCACCAGAAAGATAGACAGGCGGACCAATGGTTCAGAGGAACCACCTGGAAGACCAAGATCCTCTGCTATGCCTCAGCTGTGGAAGCTAAAAGTAAACAAAGTAAACTGTGAGCTGTGTTGCTTACAGCCGTTCCTCCCTGCTCCCTCCTCCCTCCCACAGAGCAGCAGTCTGCCACCGTGCTGGAGCACTGCAGGAGCTTCATGCTGCAGAGAGATGTTTAATTCACAGCATCCAGAATGATAATGAATCATGCATGCGCAAGGCCTTGCTGACTAGTTCGAACCCCAAATCGGAGGCGGTAGACATGAATTTCAGCCGGCCAATCAGTTTGTAGTGTCTCCTCAGTCCCAGTTGTACCACCTAGAAATAGGTCTGGAAAAAAGAGTCTCATCAGAATGGAAAACGCTTGTATTACCCAGGTGTGAAATCAAAAGGCTTTCCAGCCCATACCTGGCCCAGATGTGGAAGTGGTATTAGAAAGCAAATGTTCTGACTGAGAATGTCTAGCTGCAGTCATGAAGACACGGCAGATCTTATACCAGCTAAGATGAACTGCACTAACGCACCTGACATCATTTTTATTGAACCACACAACATGTGAAATGAAGAGGAAATACAGCAGGAAGTTCGATTTTGGCGTCTGTTTTGGGTTTGGGATGAAGTTTCGCTGGGTGTCCTGTCCCGTCTGTGACCAGCACAATGTCACAATGTTCAAAGCAGCAGACAGAAACACCGACTGGTGGTAGAAGTCCTCCCAAAGGTGTCTTATTAATCCTAGCTATTTCCAGTGGAGTGTTTGGAAAACTGGTTAATAATTAAACCTGTTTGTTGTGACACATTTGTTTTTGAACCGTGGTTCTCAGCAGAATAGCTCCACAAAGCATCCACCATTGTGAGATGTTGTCTCTTCACATAAGAGTCTATACATCAGCATGTTGCTCCTATGGTTCAGTAATAACCACAGCTTAACGCTATGATCAGTCAGGCATAAATCTAAACCCTGAGACGGTCTGTTGTATTCCAACGTCTGTGGTGCAGAATATTAACATTTTATCTATCTATCTGTCTGTCTATCTGTCTATCTGTCTTTCTGTCTATCTGTCTATCTGTCTTTCTGTCTTATTCATTTATTTATTTGCAACAGTAATTTCCCCCATCCATTTTAAGAAGGGAAAACAACATAAACAAGAGACTGATTTTTATAATTCAAATGTCCTGTTCTCACATTTTGCTTGAGTAAACAAAAAGTATATCTAAAAAGGAAAAATGTTTACCAGCACTGTGATTGTTTACATTGATGAATATAAATTCAGGGTTTCCCCAGCGCTTTATAAGCCTGGCAGGTCGCCAGGCTTTGCTTGCCCACCCGCCAGGCTAAGCGTCATGCCCCGCCCCCCTCCCCGACCCTAACCGTGACACGCTGACACGAACGGCGCAGCGAAACTAGAACCCTCCGTCAGCTGATACTGGTGAGAAACAGCAGTGGAACGTGTGCCCCCCCCCCCCCCCCCCCCCCCCCCCGCCCCCCCGACGGCCGAGGCCGCCAGGCTTAACTCATTTTCTGGGGGAAACCCTGAAATTGGTTCATATTTTAGCGAGAATCGTTCTGCCCTTTTCAGACTAATTAAATAATGTGAACTATAATGCCATAAGAAGAGACTCGCTTCTCACGATTCAACTTGTTTGTTTTTTTGTTTCATTCCAAATTAGAACACAAGAATCAAAGAGGGCATCATCAACATAAACCCAGACGAGGAGCCCCTCCGCTCTGAGTTGCTGAGTGGCAAATTTACAGTGCTGGTGAGTTGTAACCTCGTGCACACAAGTGCTTGAATTTGTGATTTTTTATGGATGAAATAGGGAGCACAGACTAGACCCGGTCACCTTATTATTAACGACTGATGTTCCCACCAGCCTGGCCGAGATGCAAAGGGGGCAGCTTTAGCGCTCTTCACCGCCCGCCTCCATCGACCAGACGTCACCACCCACAGAGCCGTGCTACAGGCCATCATCTATCAGCTGGACAAAACTATAGAGAGGTGAACACCTGACCTTCAGCTTGGTCCCCTCTTCTCCATACATTGTTTTTCACCAAATTCCTATCATCATTTTAATTTATTACTACTAAATGTGGAATAACGACTGGCAAAGGTGGATTACAGTAACTTTAGTAAAGCACCTAATCAGACATGTTACTCATGAAAAAAGCCTTGTTTTTAAACATGTGACATAAGAATATAAAGAAAAACGAATTGAAAACACAAGAAATGGTCAGAATTTAAACCCAAATTCAGACAATAAATGCTGATTAAGCCAATCTGCTCAGCTCTCTGGTTTGTTTCTTTCCAGCTCACAAACTCAAAGAGACGGGCTCATTTTTATTTACGACATGACAAACTCGAGCTACGGGAACTTTGACTACGAGCTCTGTGTCAAGATTCTCAATCTGCTCAAGGTAATTCAGAAACAAAACCATCTGCTGCTCAATCGCCTGGTCCCTTTCAAAGTTTCAGTTGTTTAACAAGTGAAATCTCCTTTTTAATAATTTTCTGTCTCCTCGTATTTCCCAGGGAGCTTTTCCCGCTCGTCTGAAATGTGTCTTCATCGTGTCCTCTCCACTTTGGTTTCGAGCCCCTTTTGCAGTTCTACGCCTCTTTGTACGAGAGAAGCTAAGGGAAAGGGTGTGTGCTTATTTACCCTCCTGGATTAGTCCCAGACCATCTTTTAGATATTTATTTCACGTGTTGTCTCTGGTTTCCAGGTATGCACAGTGAGAGCTTCTGAGCTGGCCAGCCACATCCCAGTCTCCTCTCTTCCTGAACACCTGGGTGGGACATCCCAGTACAGCCACGTAGCTTGGATCCAGTCCTGTGTTAACATGCAAACAAACACTTTTCAGGGTGACACACAGGAACACGACGCCCATGACTGTGTGGGCAGCTTGTTGCGCTCCTACAGCTTGGACAACAGCAACACGAGCATAGACGACCCGCCGCCCCACGCTCTCATGAATACACAGCTGGGTACTGAGCATAGCGTGGCTAACTGCTACGGTGACAACAATGCGAACCCACACAACCACTTTGGTGCTGTAGAGGGCAGGACTCGAGGCCCGGGCCAGTGCCAGCAGAGCTTAAGTTCTGGTGCCGACAAGGGGAACCACCAACACTGGAATGGCTCAGCAGTGAGCGCTGCCAACACCAGTGGTAGTGGCCCAAACACAAATATAAATGGCCGTGGCTGCCAAGCTCCTCCCCAGTCTGACACTCCTCCCATCACGCCACTTTCACACAAAGGAGATGGAGACACAGCCGATGGCGAAGCAGCACACTCTACAGTTTCCTCTCACAGTGAGGGTGTGAAGGGCAATGGTGAGGGTGGAGAGGGGGCTGCAGTGCCTCCGTTGCCTCAGAAGTGCCTCCCTCGCCCACCCAACCAGCCTTTCTCTCATTCCCCACCCTTGTCTTCATCGTGGGGTCCTGATGATGAGAGGCGCTACGCTGAGGTGTCTGTTCACATGCCAGACCAGGGAGGCTTGACTGTTCATAAGCTGGTGGATTATGTGAAAAGGAAGAAGAAGAGGGGGATCTACCAGGAGTACGAGGAGATCCGAAAGGAGCCTCCAGCAGGGACCTTTGACTACTCAAAGTAAGACTCTGGACGCTCTGTGTGTTTCAGCATCTTGTGATGGTAAACTGTGGACCTTTGGACGGATGCACAGCCTCGTACTGAAACTTAATTCTGCTTTTGTAGGAAAATGGCCAATCAGGTTAAGAACCGGTACAGCGACGTCCTCTGTCTGGACCAGTCACGAGTACGACTCTGCCAGCTTTCTGATGAAGAGGATGAGGTCATTGTCAACTTTTGTTGTTCTTTGACATCCCTGATGAAGTTCTATTTGACATAATAAACAACATGTTTGGATTGATTACTAAAGAATTGTATCGATAAAAGACTGAACAAATGTACTGCATCTTAGTCAGCAGGTGAATCTACAGGAAACGTCTTATTTGGTAAAACTTTTGTGCACCCAGCCTTACGGACAGTAACAGAAGTGTCCTCTCTCAGGGGGGCAGTGCATTGTAGCTGAAGGCTGAGTTTTATTCCCCTCTCTGGTGTGTTTTGCAGACATCGGATTACATCAATGCCAGTTTCATGGACGGGTACAAGAGGAGCAACACTTACATCGCTACTCAGGGTTGGGGGCTGTTTTCATGATTTACTTTTTAAATTATGTAACATAAGCATCTAAATGTTTCAAATGTGTTATAATAATGTTGTGGTTAGCTTTGCTTCGGTAAATCTAATCGGTCCAACTATATATTTCATATGAAATGTAACATTTGAACCTCTGATGGTAATTTAATAATCTTGACATGGATTATAATTCCTCTGTTCAAATAGCTTATTTTCAGTTTTACTCCACCGACATTTAGCTCTCGCACCTTTTTCAGCTTCTATGAGTTGACAGAACTTTATCTTATTCAGGTCCTTTGCCAAAAACCTTTGCTGACTTCTGGCGGATGGTATGGGAACAGATGGTACTTATCGTTGTCATGACCACCAGGTGAGGCTTAAGTTATCTACAGTCAGCTTTACTGGTTTTAACAATTTTTATAAGTTGTACCCAGAAGTGTTGGGTTTTCTAAAAAACAACGGCTGAACTGTTTTTCAGGGTGGTTGAGCGAGGACGTGTCAAATGTGGTCAGTACTGGCCTCTTGAGGAGGGCAGGACTGAACAACATGGATACTTCAGGGTCAAGAACACACAAATCCAGGTGTTTCAGGACTTTAAACTCTCCCATCTTGAATTATATAACACACAGGTAAATACAATTCAAGTTGTGTGACGAGAGCTCCAAAATATGAGATATTGAGTTCTGCTTAATCTTTTTAAAAACGTTTACTTTTAAACATTTTTTAAAACTTCCTCTTAGTCTGGAGAGAAACGAGAAGTGTACCACTACCTCTATGTCAGCTGGCCAGACTTCGGGGTACCTAAAAGTGCGTCTGCTATGTTGGACTTCCGTGAACATGTACTTCAAACAAGGAAGGTTGCAGTCCAGAACCTGGGATCCAGCTTGAGGGGGCCTCCGGGGGGCCCTCCAGTGGTTGTGCATTGCAGTGCTGGCATTGGACGCACAGGTAAATGTCTAGAAGTTTAAAAACTAGGGATGTCCCCATCAGGTTATTTTGCCCTCAAGTCCGAGTCATTTTATTTTGAGAATCTGCCGATACCGAGTCCCGATCCGATACTTTCTATACATAAAAAATAAAAATAAAGAAAAGGAAGAAACAGTTCCAGAATGCTCCTTATTTTTTATTTAATTACCTTTTTATTTTAATTTTTAACAACAGATCACTTCTGTGAGGTAGCTTGACAGTCAAGTAATAAATAACATAAATTCTTCACTTTTGGACTTTATTGCAAATATAAAAAGTAATATAAAAACAGATAGCACTTCAACTTAAAATACCTGGCAGGGGTCTTTGCCTCGGCCCCCAAAATGCTTAGCTACGTCCCTGGGCATGGGACAGAGTTTTTGAAGATGATCTGAACTGTATCAACTATATAAATACTACATGCTGATAGGTTATTGCTTTATACAGGTACAAACGTGTAATGGGATAAATTACCTACATTTAATTTTTTTAAGAACTTTGTTTTGTTTTCTTGGTTTTTATTTTCCTGTCTTCCTGTCCTGTCTGTCTCTGATCTTCCTGTCCTGTCTGTCTCTGATCTTCCTGTCCCATCTGTCTCTGATCTTCCTGTCCCGTCTGTCTCTGATCTTCCTGTCCCGTCTGTCTCTGATCTTCCTGTCCTGTCTGTCTCTGACCTTCCTGTCCTGTCTGTCTCTGACCTTCCTGTCCCGTCTGTCTCTGACCTTCCTGTCCCGTCTGTCTCTGACCTTCCTGTCCCGTCTGTCTCTGATCTTCCTGTCCTGTCTGTCTCTGATCTTCCTGTCCTGTCTGTCTCTGATCTTCCTGTCCTGTCTGTCTCTGGTCTTCCTGTCCTGTCTGTCTCTGATCTTCCTGTCCTGTCTGTCTCTGATCTTCCTGTCCTGTCCCGTCTGTCTCTGACCTTCCTGTCCTGTCTCTGATCTTCCTGCATCTCCCAGTCCTCCAGAAAAACTCCTGCCTGCTTCCTTTTTCACCTCACAAGTAACGTTTTAACCAGCAGATCAAATTGATCTACTGACCGCTAAAAAAGCGGAGTGTGTGCTGCGCTGCCCGGCTGCGCCAGTAACGAGCGCTGCAGCGCGAGCGCATCCACACGTCATGCTCAAATACAGACAGAACTTACCAGAGAGAAAATGAACGGACACGAATGACTGTGTGTTAATTATATATTTTTGGTGTCGCTACTTAGAAACTTAGAACATGTTACTGTGGCCGTGTGCAGAACGCAGCTGGAGTTCATGAATAATCAGCGGTCTGCCTGCCGCTCTCTGCATCTCTGCTCTAAAGAATCCCCGCTGAGTCCATACAATATGGGTAGAAACTGGATCTCTTTTGTGCTCCTTCTGGGTGTGTAAGTTAAGTGCATCAGGGGAGCCTGACAACCTTTAGGAGAACCAAGTTGCTCTCCTGTAATTTGAACCCAGTATCCAGGACCGGATCAGGGCTTGGATCGGGAAGTAAAGCCGGAGTCCCGATCAGTCTGAAACCACGTGATCGGGGCCGATTTCCGGTCATGTGATCGTATCGGGACATCCCTATTAAAAACACTTGTGTGTTTTGTTGGAGATTACTCCTAAATGAATCCTTTCATGCAGTAGACCAAACCATTAATGGTTTTGACTTGTTCTATTTGGATTTTCTTCAGCTCATTCTTATTTGAACTACACAATTTTTGTCTTTAATCTTTTGAGTATAACCTCCATCTCACTCCTCTCTGCTTTTTGTAGGCACATTCTGCACACTCGACATATGCCTATCCCAGCTGGAAGACGTTGGCACAGTAGATATCCGCCAGACTGTGCGCAGGATGCGCACACAGAGAGCTTTCAGCATTCAAACCTGGGACCAGTACTACTTTTGCTACACCGCAGTCATCGAATATGCTCAGCAACGTGGGAAACTGAGTCCTGTGCAGTGGTCTGACTCGGACTTAGAGACCGACAGCGAGTGAGAGAGACATGCAGAGATGACTAGATAAACCCAAACACAAGTCGTGAATAAATGAGAAGCAGCATTTCAGAGTGGAGAGGTAACCCCGCGAGAGAGAGAGAGACAAGGGGGGCTCGAGTGATTGCTCTTTCTTCATGAAAGTTGATGGAAGGTGAAAACACCGGAGGAACAAATGCAGTGGACATTAAGCATTGCATCACTGAGCAAGCTGGCCTGCCAATGTCCAAGCCTCCTCCTTTTTACTTAGCCAACTGGGGGCTTGGTCCTGACACCAAACCCGTCTGATTGACAAAGCTTCGTACGAGTTGTAGCATTTTTATATTGACTTGCACTTGAGGAATGACTGACTTGAACTTGTACCCATGTGGAGCCCTCAAAACTCGAGTGTTTGTTCCGTTTTATATTTCTTGTTGCTTTTCAACTCTGAACGAGTCTGATTACAAATGAAATGTGAGGGGCGATAAAAGGTGAAACTTGAAAACATTTCTCCTTAATTTTATGTTTTTACTTTAAGCTGGAATGGTTCTCTGCGAGAAAAGTTGCAACAGATTTTTCAGAGAGCCATTTAGTCCCATTTCCTTTTTTTATGTCACTTATTTCCAATGACATGTTCTACGTGTGCTTTATATTTGTGCATATTTAGTCTAACGATTCAAAGCCAAAGTACTCACCCTGAATGCTTGGATGAGATATTATAAACTGAAACCATCTATATTCTTGTAACATACATGTATACTTTATTGTGTATAATAACATCTAAAATAAGAGCATAAAAAGCCTTGTTATGTATGATTGATCTAATCTTCAAAAAGTGCTGGTGAAGTTTCAGTCTTCTAGGTCATGTTAATCCAAAGGGTTCATGTGAAGGCACCTGGACTTCGTTGTTTTCTTGAAGACGTCTTGCTTCTCATCCGAGGAGCTTTGTCCATTCTGACTTCAATATGGGAGGGTCAAGCTTCTAAACTGTAACTATCAGTTGTTTCTTAATGAGCTGAAACTACATATGAGTACCCCTCCGAGGAGTTGTTGACGTCATTAAGACCTATTGTGTTAGTGTTGAAGGTGCTGGAAAGGTGAAACAGGAGGCCTCAAGTTTTACCTTTCCAGCACCCGCAATGCACCTCTAAACCTAATTCCCAAACCGTTTTAAGTCTAGGTCACACCTTGCTGAATCTAAACAAAACAAACATTCTACCACAATAGGTCTTATAAACATGGACTCTTTGGAGGGCAGGGAGGAGGGGTATTCATGGGTAGTTTCTGCTCATTACGCAGCAATAGAAAGTTACGTTTATAAGTGTGACCCTCCTATTTTCCAGTCAGAATTGACGAAGTTCTTCGGAGGAGAAGCCAAACGTCTTCAAGAAGCCATAGTCCAGTTGCCTTCATATAAATTCTTTGAGTCTTCAGAAAGAAAATCTACAGAAGCTGGATTATGTAACAGTACAGTTCTGGTTTTAAACTCATGGCGGATATTTCGGGTCTAACATCTTCTTTGCAGTCTGAGCATCCAGACTGGACGCTCTTAAGTGATTTGGCCTTAACTAGATTCACTGCCTCGTATAGTTTTCAGATTCAATACTATATTTCAAACTTCTCTTGTTGTTGCCTGTTTTCAAACATTTCAACTTTAAAAGCCACGATACTTTTTAATTCTTGAGGGGTATTCTGCCTCAGATTACTGTGCCTTCACGCTTTCCTTAGCTTAACGTCTTGTTAGTGAGTTAAGTCACCCAAACTAGTACACTTACATACAGTGAGGATCATAAGTATTTGAAAACCTTTCAATTTTGCAAGTTTTCCCACTTAGAAATCATGGAGGGGTCTGAAATTGACATTGTAGGTGCATTCCCACTGTGAGAGACCGAATGTAAATATCAGGAAATCACATTGTATGATTTGCAAAGAATTTTTGTTTTGCACTGCTGCACATAAGTATTAGAACACCTGAGAAAATCTGTATTAATATTTGGTACAGAAGCCTTTGTTTGCAGTTACAGAGATCAAACATTTCCTGTAGTTCCTGACCAGGTTTGCACATACTGCAACAGGGATTTTGGCCCACTCCTCCACGCAGATCTTCTCTAGATCTGTCAGGTTCTGGTGCTGGTGCTGAGAAACAGAGTTTCCACTCCCTCCAAAGATTTTCGATTGGATTTAGGTCTGGAGACTGGCTAGGCCACTCCAGAACCTTGATATGCTTTTTACAGAGCCATTCCTTGGTTATCCTGGCTGTGTGCTTCAGGTCATTGTCATACTGGAAGACCCAGCCACGACCTCATCTTCAATGCTGTGACTGAGGGAAGGAGGTTGTTGCTCAAAATGTCAATACATGGCCCCATTCATCCTCCAGTGCAGTCGTCCTGTCCCCTTTGCAGAAAAGCACCCCCAAAGCATGAGGTTTCCACCCCCATGCTTCACAGTAGGCAAGGTGTTCTTTGGATGCAACTCCTTTTTCCTCCAAACACGGCGAGCGAAGTTTAGACCAAAAAGTTCTACTTTGGTCTTATCTGACCACATGACTTTCTCCCATGCCTCCTTTTGGATAATCCAGATTTGGCAAACTGCAGACGGGCCTGGACATGTGATGAATTCAGCAGGGGAACTTTTCGTGCAATGTGTGATTTGAATCCATGACGGCATAGTGTTCTACCAACAGTGACCTTTGAAACTGTGGTCCCAGCTCTCTTCAAGTCATTGACCAGCTCCTCCTGTGTCGTTCTGGGCTGATTCTTCACCTTTCTTATCAGTGATACCCCACGAGATGGGATCTTGCAGGGAGCCCCAGTCCGAGGGAGGCTGACGGTCATCTTTAGCCTCTTCCATTTTCTGACAACTGCTTCAACAGTTGACCTATTTTCACTAAGCTGCTTGGCAATTTCCCCGCAGCCCTTTCCAGTCTTGTGGAGGTCCACGATTTAGTCTCTGGTTTCTTTTGACAGCTCTTTGGTCTTGTCCATGGTAGTAGTTGGAGTCTGACTGACTGGTGTGGACAGGTGTCTTTAAAGAGCTCAGACAGGTGCTGCTAATTAAGATGACTAAGTGGAGCAGAGGTGGACTTCTTAAAGGCAGAGTAACAGGTCTTTGAGAGCCAGAATTCTTGCTGATTGCCAGGTGTTCAAATACTTATGTGCAGCAGTGCAAAACAAAGAAATTCTTTGCAAATCATACAATGTGATTTCCTGATTTTTTTTTACATTCTGTCTCTCACAGTGGGAATGCACCTACATTGTGAATTTCAGACCCCTCCATGATTTCTAAGTGGGAGAACTTGCAAAATCGCAAGGTGTTCAAATACTTATGTTCCTCACTGTAATACACAGTAAACACCCACATTTTTTGCCTGGCATAACACCTTTACACAAGTAGTGAATTATCCAGTTGGTGACTGATTTAAGATGTGGCTGTTTTATCATTTGACCTCAGGGGGTATCTTTATTTTTTTGTTTTAAAGGTTTTGGGTTTATGTCTTATAAATTGCCATTTCAAAGTTTTTTGTACTGTATTGTATCCTACTGTATTTGTATACCGTCTCAGTCGTTGAATGTTGGTACGATGCTACAGCAAAAACAGACAAGTTATTTCCTTTATTAAGCTGAACAAATCACATGGGGACTGAAAGTTATATTTTTGTTGTTGACCGTGAAATGTAGCTAGAAAATGTTGGTTGTCAGTATTTTAGATCCATCTTGTAAAAACCAATCCAAAGGGGATGAGCTAGCGGTTGACATTTTTGTAGAGGTCATTGCCAAACTCATAAGGACAACATTAACAGCCACAGCCTTCACCAGGATGCAACAGGAAAGTAGATGTCATAAGAATCCATTTTCACTAAACAAAGACAAACCTGTCATTTCTGTTGACATAGAAATATTATATTTAACGTGTTAAAGTTTAAGCATGGAACAAGAGCCTTGAATGTTTTTGGGGTAATGGTGTCAGATTTTAGTCAAACATGGTTATTTTCTCATGAATGTGGACCCTGCAACCCTCCAAGCCAAAGGCTAGGCTCACCTTAGGATTTTATTTATTTGTTTTCTTAAATTTTAGTTCAATTTTTTTAATTCATCCACACCAGCCTACTTGCATGGACACTACCAGTGCAGCCTTTGACGCAGGGACTCTGGAGCACCTCGGGAACATAACTAACATTTCTATAGCTAATGGGAGAGTGTGTACAGAGTCTGTGCTTTCTTTTTCTTTTCATAAGAGGCAGAATGCTATGTGGGTTTGCCATTTGAATTATAAGTTTGTTTCTGTGCTTTAATTTCTTGTGATTGATTTATTGCCTTTTACATGCTGATGACCCATCTGTCCCATTAAAGCAACGGTCTTATTATCTTTACTGAATGTACAACTAATGTGATATCAATCTAAACTAAAAGAAAACCAGCATGCAAGTAGTTCAGCCTTTTTTTCAGGTATAAAATATTTTCCTCGAGTAGAAATATGGTTAGCGTTTGAGACCTGGAGGAAGCTGGGATTTTATCTAAATCGACTCCATGTCCAAACTGACGAATTGAAAACAAGCAAGTTCCGAAATGCGTTGGTAATTAAAAAAAATACTTTAGTATTTACTAACTTAGTGTCCTTTTGAGTTTAACCGTGTCAGAGCAGGATGAGCTGCAGATTAGCTGCAGATGGAGTGAGGATGTTTTTGTGCCTGAGAGCCGAAGCAACAATAAGCACATCTGTAGCGAGTTGATGTAAAATTGGCCTTGAAATGCATTTGCGGTGTTAGTCACTGCATCTGTCCACAAGTAGTGGTGAATTATCCAGTAAGAGACTGTTGGAAGCTGCAAACCAAAAACATTTTTGATATGTTTATATATGAATATATTGTTAGTCAAATCATTCCTCCTTTAAGGTTATTTCTAGTTTCTGCATTTCTGTGCTTTATGAAAAAAAAGGTCATATTTTCCCAGAAGAAATCTCTAAACCTACCTGTTTACCAAGTTTCCTGCACCAACATGCCTAGTTTAAAGAAAGGGGTGATTAAAAGGCTTCTGAAGAATTTGAGGACTTGCTGAACTCAATTACTGAATTGTGTGTGTTGGAGCAGAGAAACAGATGAAACATGCAGGACTGTGGACCACCAGGACCAGGAATAAACAGCCCTGATCTAAGCTGCATTAGAACGGAGCACAAACGTGCATTTACCGGCCTGTAGCACTGCTCATTTTCACATTTAAAGCAAAAAGATCTATTCAAAATAATGAGTTCTCCAGTCCAGTGGTTCCCAAATGTGGTCAGACAGGACTTCACTGTGGGTGGTAAAAACAAATGAGTTTGGATCACAGAAATCAAATAACAAATTTTCTTATGTAGCCTCCTAATGTAAACGTTATCAGAGGATAAATTAGTATGTATATATATATATATATACATATTTCCCACCAGCAACATTTGAGATCTAATTTTCTATTTGATAATGTGTATATTTATTTCTGATTGTGTATTTATGACAATGAAATCACAGTATTGCATGTCTTAAAATGTCATTTTCCCCTTTAGACAGATGATCAACATCGCAGCTGTGTGAAATTTACTGAGCCGAGATTTTGAATTTTAAAAGATAAATGAGTCATGTTCATGTCCATAAGCTGCTAAGATGATGTGAATGGCCGCTTAAAAAAGTGATGACTGATGAAAACCAGCCCAAAATGATCAAGCAATGTTTATCTTTTGTGTTTACTTGTTTTATAGCCATGTTTCAGCACTTTCCTTTAACAGATAGCTTTCTAAAGCCACATAGTTCAGCATTTGTGAATCAAGTGTTTGCTGTTGTAATTTACATTCAGCATTTACAGATGGACAATAAAGTAGTCCGCCTCCAATTCTCAAAGGTTTCCCACTTAAAAAGATGAAAGGCCTGTAATTTTCATCATAGGTATAACCTAACTATGAGAGACAAAATGAGAAAAAACATCCTGATAATCACATTGTCTGATTATAAAGAATTCATTTGCAAATTGTGATGAAAATAAGTATTTGGTCATAACAAAATTCCACCTAATTACTTAGTTATATACTCTTTCTTTGGCCGTGACAGAGGTCAAACATTTTCTAAGTCTTCAGAAGGTTCTCACATACTGTTGCTGGTATTTTGGCCCATTCCTCCATGCAGATCTCTAGTGTTTTGGGGCTGTTGCTGGGCAACATGGGCTTTCAACTCCCCTCTAAAGACTTTCTACGAGGTAGAGATCTGGAGCTGTCCAGGCCACTCCAGTACCTTGAAATGCTTCTTACGAAGCCACTCCTTTGGTACCTAGGCGGTGTGTTTGGGATCATTGTCAGGCTGACAGACCCAGCCGTGTTTCATCTTCAATGCCCTTGCTGATGGAAGGAGGTTCTCACTCAAAATCTGATTATACGTGCCCCGTTCATTCTTTCTTTTACATGTATCCGTCGTCCTGGTCCCTTTGCAGAAAAATAGCCCAAAGCATGATGTTTCCACCTCCATGCTTTACAGTTTACAGTTCTTTGGATGCAACTCTGCATTCTTTCTCCAAACACAACAAGTATACTTTTTATCAAAAGGTTTTATTTTAGTTTCAATAGACCATATGATATTCTCCCAATCCTCTTCTGGATTATCCAAATGCTCTCTAGCAAACTTCATATAGGCCTTCACACATACTTGCTTAAGCACGGAGACTCATCTGACACTAGGGGCAGCATTAGCTCAGGAGGTCCAGCGGGTTGTCCTGTAATCGGAAGGCTGTAGGTTCAATCCCGGCGCCTGTCAGAGAATGCTACCTTTATTTCCTTGGGTACACCCACCTTGCCTGCTGATGGTGGTCAGAGTGACTGAGACTCTGTCAGTGCGCCCCAGGGTAGTTGGCCACAATGTAGCTCATCATCACCAGCGTGTGAATGAGTGGATGACTGATTGTGTTGTGAAGCACTTTTGGGGGTTTGTAGAACCTCAAGAAGGCACTACAGTATACAAATATGGGCTATTTACTGTAGGATTTCAATCTGTTGGTATAGTCTGTAACTGATGGTAGCCTTTGTAACTTTGGTCCCAGCTCTCACTATGCGCCCCCCTCCCTTGTGCAGTTCTGGGATTTATGCTCACCATTCTTGTGATAATTTTTGACCCCACAAGGTAAAGTCTTGCATGAATCCCCTGATCAAGGGAGATTATCAGTGGTCTTGTATGTCTTCACTTTCTAATAATTGCTCCCACGGTTGATTTCTTCACACCAAGATGCCCACCAACTGCAGATTGAGTCTTCCCAGCCTAGTGCTCTTCCCAGCCTAGTGCTCTTCCCAGCCTAGTGCAGGTCTACAGTTTTGTTTCTGGTGTTCTTTGACAGCTCTTTGGTCTTGGCCATGGAGTTCAGAGTGTGACTGCTTCTGGACAGGTGTCTTTTATACTGATGAACAGGTGCCATTATTGCAAGTAACGAGTGGAGGACAGAGGAGACAGAGGCGCTCTACGCACCATGAGGAGGCCTACCTATCCTAGAAAAATAGTCTTGAGCTTTATAAAAAATAAGCTTCGACAAACTAGAACTGCTTATTTCTCAGCACTAATTGAGGAGAATAAGAATAATCCTAAATTTCTTTTCAGTACAGTTGCTAAACTTACACAGAATCATAGCTCTGAGCCATCTGTTCCCTTAGCCCTCAGCAGCAATGACTTCATGGGATTTTTACAAGTAAAATTAATTCTATTAGAAACAAAATCTTTAGCATCCTCCCTAATGAGATTTCTTCTTCCTCAGTAAGTGAGGCAGCATCAGAGGTAACTGTAGAACCTCATCTGTGCTTGAACCGTTTTGATCCAGTTGAGCTTTCAGAGTTATCAAAAATATTAGCTTCATCTAAACCTTCCACTTGCATTTTGGATCCAATCCCAACCAAATTATTTAAAGAAGCATTTCCTTTGGTTACTGCCCCCATTCTAGATATAATCAATCTATCCTTATTAAATGGATATGTACCACAGGATTTTAAGGTTGCTGTAATCAAACCTTCACTTAAGAAGCCTTCTCTGGATCCAGATGACCCAATGAATTATAGACCAATATCTAACCTTCCATTTTTATCCAAAGTCCTGGAGAAAATAGTGGCCATCCAAGTATGTGAGCATTTAAACACTAATGCTCTGTTTGAGGAATTTCAGTCTGGTTTTAGAGAGTATCACAGCACTGAAACTGCATTAGTGAGAGTTACAAATGATATTCTTAAAGCCTCAGATAAGAATCTTGTGTCTGTTCTAGTCTTGTTAGATCTCAGTGCTGCCTTTGACACAGTTGATCACAAAGTTCTTTTACAAAGATTTGAATATGTTGTTGGGATCAAAGGAACAGCGCTAGGCTGGTTTAAATCCTACCTGTCTGACAGATTTCATTTTGTAAATGTACATGACAAATCGTCTTCATACTCCAGGGTTACTTGTGGAGTACCACAGGGTTCAGTGCTTGGACCAATTCTTTTTACTATATACATGCTCCCAATAGGTAAAATCATTAGACAGCATGGGATAAACTTCCACTGTTATGCTGACGATACTCAGTTATATTTATCCATTAACCCTCGTCGTCGTCGTCGTCTTCCTCCGCTTATCCGGGTCCGGGTCGCGGGGGCAACATCCCAGCTAGGGAGCTCCAAGCCGTCCTCTCCCCGGCCCTGTCCACCAGCTCCTCCGGCAGGACCCCAAGGCGTTCCCGGACCAGATTGGAGATGTAACCTCTCCAACGTGTCCTGGGTCGCCCCGGGGGCCTTCTGCCGGCAGGACATGCCCGAAACACCTCCCCGGGGAGGCGTCCAGGAGGCATCCTGACTAGATGCCCAAACCACCTCAACTGGCTCCTTTCGATCCGGAGGAGCAGCGGTTCTACTCCGAGTCCCTCCCGAATGTCCGAGCTCCTCACCCTATCTCTAAGGCTGAGCCCGGCCACCCTACGGAGGAAACTCATTTCGGCCGCTTGTATCCGCGATCTCGTTCTTTCGGTCATTACCCAAAGCTCATGACCATAGGTGAGGATTGGGACGTAGATCGACCGGTAAATCGAGAGCCTGGCTTTCTGGCTCAGCTCCCTCTTCCCCACGACAGATCGGCTCAGCGTCCGCATCACTGCAGACGCCGAACCAATCCGCCTGTCGATCTCCCGATCCCTCCTACCCTCACTCGTGAACAAGACCCCGAGATACTTAAACTCCTCCACTTGAGGTAGGACCACTCCCCCGACCCGGAGTTGGCAAGCCACCCTTTCCCGGTCGAGAACCATGGTCTCAGATTTGGAGGTGCTGATCCTCATCCCAGCCGCTTCACACTCGGCCGCGAACCTACCCAGCAAGAGCTGAAGGTCGGAGCTGGATGAAGCTAGGAGG